AAATATATCCATAGTCCATGGCAGGAGGTAAGGGTAGGAGATAAAAATGACCCTCAATTCATATCCTGCTGAAAGTAAGAAAAGATCATCTTCGTTTATGAAATACATCACTAATAGTTGCCTCCCACCAAATCCTACTAATTTATTTGGAAGCCAGAAACTTGGAAAATAAGACTGTCAAAGAAAATGTCTATTATCTGTATGTGTAAGGGAAATTGACAATGATTCTACAAAGAAACCAAAATGACTTTTTTTAAAAAAATGTAGTGTAATAGAAACAAGAAAACATTTATCACTGTAACCTTTTCATGGGTACAATTCAGCTACATTTTGTTAACTATGTTGTACACCGTCACCACAATCCATTTCCAAATTTTTCATCACCCTTAATGGAAACTCAGTACCTTTAAGGAATACCTCCCTATTTCCATCTCCCAATCACCACTGATAACAATTCATAATCTTTGGTCTTTTTGCATTTGCCTATTCTGTATATTTCATATCCAAAATGACTTTTTTCATGAATGCAATGTAGAATGGCTGAGTTCTATTTTATATTTATTTGAATTTTATTCATGTTTTGAATACACAGTTGTCTTAGTTAACTAGTACTGCTATAACAGAAATACCACAAGTGCATGCCTTTAACAAAGGAAAATTTATTCTTTCAAAGTTTAGGAGGCTAGAAGTCCAAATTCAGGGCAGCAGCTCTAGGGTAAGACTTTCTCTTTCTGTCAGCTCTGGTGGAAGGTCCTCATTTCCTTTCAACATCTGTGGACCCAGGGTTCCTTGGTGATCTCCATGTACCTTGACTTCTCCTGGGTCTAGGAGCTTCTCATCACAGGGACTCTGGGTCCAAAGGCTCACTCCACTCCCAGCTCTTCTTTCTTGGTGGTAATGTGATCCCTCTTCTCTGCTTGCCTGTCTTTTCTTTTATCTCTTGGAAGATAAAAGGTAATACAGGCCACACCCTAGGGAAACTCCCCTTACATCTGATTGGGGCTGTGACCTGAGTAAGGGTGTTACATCTCACCCTAATCCCCTTACAACTGATTGGCTGATCACATCAGATCACATAATGGGGGATCATTACATTATTACATCATTACATAACTGCCAAACCACTGAAAATAACGGCCCACCAAGCTGACATATTTTGGAGGAACACATTCAATCCATGACAACTGTATATGCATCTTTTACAAAATTCAAAATATAGAAAGGGAAATATAGTGAAAGGGAGCTCTGGTAGCATAGTGGCTAAGACACTTGCCTGCTAACCAGATGGCTGGTGGTTCAAACCC